TAAGCAGCAGGTGTTCTTTCGGGGGGGGGTCTAATATAACACAGAGAGATTCAGATTCGTCTTCGGTCCTCGCTGCCCGTGTCCTACTCTCTCCTAACTCGTAAGTGGCCAAGCGGAATTCCAGTCATTTTCAGATTCCACAGTGCGCCGACCTTTTCTCCGGCACACTTCTTGAATATCCAATTTGTCAAAGGTTCTTGCTGTTTCCTCGGCGGTTTCTATTCAAAAGGCTGCGCTTTCAAGGCACAAGAGGTGTTGAGCAGGAAAGCTTTTGTCTCTTCTTCAAGTCTTCAACAACAACTCAAAGCGAATACTGCTGGGTCGCACAATCAACATGGGCTCATGGGTACACGGTGAACGTGCAAGTCGCGTACTCCCTTTTCAATTTTTCGGAGAAGGGATGTGCCCAGGCGTAGGTCGCAGGTATGGCCGGTATGGCTTCTTGAAGATTCCGAGACGAGGAGGCTTCGCATGCATTCATCCAGCGACGCATCCCTTCAGGCCTTGTAGGTGCTGCACAGCGTTCGGAGCACAACTTCAGCCCCATAAGCCCTAAGGCCACACCTCAAGCATTTGCACCTTTCAGGCCGAAGCGCTCTCTGTTCGACCCTTTCAAAGCTGAAAGTGCTGAAACCCTGGAGCCCGAAGAGCTCAAGACCCCTACACACGCGGGGTGGCGGTCGAGCATGTTTCGGGCTTCGCTAGCTCAACTAGATTGTTGCGTGGACGCCTCCCCCACCCCTAAATCAAATTAAGCCCCAAGCCTACATCCTGAGATTGAGGTGAAGCACCAGCCATGGACAACGCCCCAGCTCTGGGGTACCTTTCAGGCCCCTGCCGCATGTTGACTTTTTCGGCTTTAGGGCTTTAGCCTGGTGTTGGATTTGGTCCTGGGAGTGTTTCTTCTGGGTTTTGCACAAACCTTCAAGACTTGACGGTTGTTGCTTCCTTATGCTAACTAACGATGTTGAGCACTTCTCAGATGAACGCTTTGCTTGCTGGTTGATACGAGAGTCGTGTTCGCTTTGCCAAGAAGATCCACCACGCTGCCAGACAAGAAGATGACCCGTGGTAAGCAGGTAAGCATGATAGCTGTAGCATGACCATGACTGCGACTACGACTCGGCGACGGCGACAACGACGTTGACTGCTACCAGTTATTTCCGTTCGAAATAAGCACGAACCCAATTTCTGCACTGTGCGGCCCTGAACACTGATCCCTGGGAGGACACGGCATTTCCTTGTTGCCCCAAACCCTGAACCATTCTATTGGGGATTGGGGTGGTCCACGGCCGCTTTCGGCGATTAGGGTCTACAGAGTTTGACCACGGCTGGGAGGGCATTACCGACTCAAAACATCAAGGCAAACCCTCAACTTAAGATCCTGGTAATGGGATTAGGAGTAGAATTCCTACGTCCAGAAATCGGAAACGGAAAGCCCACAGAACTGAAAGGACTCTCATGCTGAGGCTATGCGAGATCACTTAGGGCGGCTCTAATCCCCTAAAGCTTGACTGCTTCAGGTCCTCCCGACTTTTCTTGTAGTCTGGACCAACCTTCAAACTTGTGAACGCATTGGCACATGACAGGCGTCTGATGGCGGAAGTGGACACATCGGATTAGATTTCCAAGAGTGAGGCCGGCGTCAGGTTTTCGGGCATGTCGTTTCGGAGCTAGAAGTTTGTTTTGGTTGGAGCTTTATTGTTTGGAGTTCAGGTCGTAGGGAAAGACCTAGGTTTTCCAACAGAGAGTGGTCAAGTAAAGCGATGCACTTGTCGGCTCGTGTAGAAGGCATCGGGGGATCGCTTGGAGATGACGGGTCGTAGAACTCGGAGGGACGGACGCCGATTTGTCAGAGTTGGAAGCGATGTCCTGAGCCTAGACTCTGTGCTTCGTGTAAGAAACCGTGTCCTATTCGGTCAATATTCATAGAATCGACAGTAGCCCATGTGCTGCTGAAACCTGTAGCGTAACAACCCTCAGCACCCCAACGCCCCCGAGGAAGCCCTGAATCCTAAACCCAGAGGCCTCAATTAACGCCCTAAACGGCCCTAACCCCAAATGGCCGCAAGGTCTGAGATTCCCAGTCAAGCTGTCTTGGACACCTCTGAAGACATCGGTTTGCCGAGTCTTTTTTCAAGGGTGGCGAAGGGTTCTTTTGAATGGACGCCTGGTTCCTACGTAGTATGAGACAGTATGAGCATGGATGTCAGCTTCTGATAGTTTGAGTATGGACGAAGGCTTCTCAGGAACACCCAGAATATCCACCCCAAAGTCCTAAACCCTTTAACCCATTCCCGGATGGGTCGCGCATTTGGATTATGGCGTGCCGCGTTGAACCTGACGCCTCCTTAAGTGATTTTGAAACAGTCACGCAGAATCCGGACCTCCTGAGACCGCTTCCTGGAATGTAGAGTGTTGGGGTTAGGCCCTAGGCTTGAATTTGACTTGGCTCAGCTAGGAGACAAGAGTAGCCTGTGCATGTGCACCACACCGACAATGCGCTGAGGCGACGCACGCAGGTGGAGTCTAGCTCTACCTCAACACTCATGTTACATGTTGGCACAGAGTACCCCGGCTCCTTGCTGTGATACTGTTTGCTCTCCCATCCCCACAATGGCCCTTCTGGAACACGTCTACAACCTTAGCTATAGATCCAATCTAGTGAATCTAGTGAATGATGAATCTAGCAGATTCCTCATTCACGACCCCGGACAAGACATTAAGTCTTTGATTCTATTGCATATGCTGGCTTTGTGACACATACCAAGCAGAAGCAAGTGCCCAAAGCTCGCATTTCGATTGCCAGTACGATAATAGCATCTCTGACAATGCTAAGAAGTTCCCGTGCATTCGGAGGGCTGGTCCCGTCCAAGTCTCGATGGCTTTCGGCTGAGCCCGTGGACGTTGCAGACACAGATCTAGCATCTGTACCGGCCATGTTGCTGTCACAGGAACAGCCACATGCAACGGTTCAACTTCGCAGCGGAACACCCCGGTATTGAAAGATCGGATTTGTCAGGACAAGTGCAAGCGCTACTCTCTTCATCGCTGTGCGTTTTCGCGACGTGGTGGATCGCTCGCGGACTGGCGAATCGGACCTGTCCGGACATCGAGGGAGATGCACGTTATGGGATGTTGGGTCCAGTGGTTGCAGGGGTAGCTCATTTGTCCTTAGGGTTTACGGTACTTGAACGCCTTTGCTTTCGGCTTCGCGCCTCATGCCATGGCACGCACATCTGTCTGCATGTCATTCTCAGTTGCAGCTGCTGTTGTCTTCCATTGTCATGACATGTGCGTGCTTTTGCTTGTCAATCATTGGTAGTGTTGCTTACCACAGGTAACACGGAGAACAGTAGTATAGTGGTCATTTCTGCTAAGATGCGTTGTGCAGAAAAATCCAGACCTTAAGCCGTGGCTTGTTTCGACCAAGACTCTGGCAACGTGCATTAAGTCAGACGCTTCCCAAGACCCGAAACCATAAACCCAATATGGGGTCTCTACATACATACGTATGGTGCGGTAAAAATGCGCAAAGACCCCATTCTTGTTCAGGCCTCTTTTTTCAACCTCGTTTATATGCCCCAAGTCCCACTCCCTGCATTGCAAGCTTCGTGAGCTTTACTCTCTGGGTTGTGCTGCTGGGCCAAGCCCGTTACAGCCCAAGAAAGTGGTTGGGGAGCGACTGGCATGATTTTTAAGCTTAGAACACGCCATCCAAACCGACCAGACAGTCTTTTGGGTAGGCTGTTACATTGAACTAAGCAGTTTGAACCCGAATCAAAGCGCAATGAGACCCTGCAAAAACGTAGCTTGTGCCAGGTCACGGGACGTGTACTAAGAGTACTATGCTCAGGGCATGGCAAAGCTCTGTGATCCGCATAAGGACCAGAAGCAGCCCTGAATCCAGACGCGTCCCACTTTATAAGGTTCAGGTCTAAGGCCACAGCCTTAGGGTGTGAAGGTCTTGTTCTCGGCTGGGGCCTCTGTTGGGAGGTCATCAACGTTGACTAATCTAATCCATAACAACCCATGCCTCCAAGCTTCTTGAGCATGTTTTCTCCATTTGTTTCATTTTGGCCTGTGCCTGGCAAATGTTCTGATGTTTTAGGCCTATCCGAGAGATCAGTCAGTCATCAACCCACATCACTCTTCCTGGACGGTGAAGCCGCCCATAGGTTCTGCGACGAATGTCTTGCGAATCCGAGGGATTTGGAGAGTGGGGGAATTGTAGGCGTTGTTTGTGTTCTGAGCCGTCCTTGACAAGTCTTACCCCCCCCCCCCTGCACGCCCTCGACTTCGCGAGTGAGTACCGGACTCCCATGCATGTATGCAGGTTCCTCGTAGAGAAGGATGTAAAGGGCTTGCAAAGCGGCTTGCAAGAAAATGCAAATAAGCAGCCGACGCTTTCACGAACGAATCCACAATATGTTTGTAGTTTATAGTACACAGCCCCACACCCTAGTCTATCATTCACGTCTTTTTGCTACACCAGTTTGGCTGAAAGGCTCCGGGTGCCATGGATTTGATGTCAGAGAGTATGATGATAATATATGACGATGTCCATGACGATGATGATGTGGTGATGGTGATGATGATGATGATGACGCATGATGATGTATGATGATGATGAATGATGATGATGAATGATGATGATGATGATGATGACGGTGATGATGATATGACGATGACGATGACCATGCCAGCTAGACGTAGTTGTGACGACGTTGCTGCAGGTTTCGCGATCACCGCACAGCCGCTCAATGTGGTCCCTTAGGTTTCTAGTCACTCGACCCTAAACGCAAGCCCTGCATGTTGGATGCAGGGTTTCTTGAACTTAACCCGACTTTGATCCTTGCATGCCAGGCGCCCCAAAGTTCCACCCTGACATCACTGAAGAAGGCTTAAACACCAAAGCCCCCAAGAACAAGCCCTATGCGACCCAGCAATTACCCCGACCCAGACCCCAAACCCCTTCAGCCCCCCCTTTTTTGAAGCAGGTGCACTGCTACGACTCACTGGGCCGCTTTGTGTGCCTCAGAAACGGCCTCGTGGAGCGGATCGGGGATCCTTGGCCGGCAAGAGCTTAGGATGTTTTGGCTATAGCAGAAATAATTCAACTCTCTACAAATTCTGGGTATTCTTGATCCGTCGGGCCTCGACATTGTGGGGCCCTTTGGAGGATCCATTCTGATTTGGGGCCGTTGGCATTGGGGTATAGCGGAATAAAGACTATCGATGCCCACAGCCGGACTGCCGGACAGGCAGAACCTCGCTATCGCAAACCCAAACCCTGAAGCCCAAAGGTCCACCGCTAAACACAAACTTCTCCTAAATGTCCTGATCGCTTTTGGCACGCTGAATTTTCCTTGCAGGTCGTTCGATCCCTGCTTCCCTCGCAGTTTGGGAACTGGTGGGAGCCTGGACTGCAAGCTTGCGAGGGTTCCGCAGCCCGAGGCTCCAAAGAGGGCCGAATTGAAGGGTTCAGGGTTTCGGTTTCGAGGAATGTTCAGGGCTCTGCGGCGCCAGGCTTTGGAAGCTGGCTTTTGCTATGGCGAAACATCTTGCATTCTTCGGAGCATCTCCAAACCCCACAAGCTACTGAGAGGCGGGGTCGAAACTGTAAACCCATCTTCCCTGCATCTTGAGCTCTAAAGCCTCATCCTTGGAGCCTTCGACTGCCCGAAGCCCTGAGCCCCAAAAGCCTGCAATACCTCGAAGATGTCTTTCGAGCAGTGATCCTGTTTCCGAGGAGTTGGAGATCTCCTTCCTGGCCCGCCAGGCTACCTGTCTTGTTGCTGGAATATCTCTTGCTTAAACAGAGGTTAGGGCTAGGATGTAGATTGGGCCTTTGGACTTAAACGCATGCTTGTCTGTGGTATTTGTGTAGGGCCAGGAGTGATTCTTGGAGGCTTAGGCGAGTCTGTCAGGCACCCGATCCCAGAAGAATCTGATGTGAAACTAGTGGCATCTCAGTTCTGGCAGAGAATACCTGGGGATGCCTTGGCCTAGTACTTTAAAGGCTGACTGTTGGGCCATAACCTAACTAGGGTTTAGGGTCTAGGATCGCTGAGGTTTATCTATTTCGTGCTGAAAGATGAGGTCTGGTGGGGCTGTGACTGTTTTGCTAGGTTTCTGTCACTCTCTCATAGAGTGACCATGATGTTATTAGGGGCCTGAATTATGAGTGATTAGCAGTAATCTTTGGGGTTCCGCAAAATTAGTATCGTGTGATATACCAAAATCCTGCATTCTAATCGCTGAAGGGCCTGCCGTGCTTACAGAGCCCAGCATTCTCAAGCTAGGGATCACGTTGGCTATCGTTTGTCGAAGTGGCGTTTGGCTTCCTGAAGAGTCCGTGCTTTCTTGAGGGAGCCTGTGCCGGATGCCGGATGCCCCACTCCTTGCTATTCCCACAAGCGTTGTTAACATTGCCACGGGAATGAGAAAAAGCCCCTGAGACTCCAGGACACTCCGAGCCAGCTGGTGCTCTTGCTGCCTCTCAGCGGCGAGGGCCCGGCTGCCGGGTCTTGGGAGCCCTGGGCAGGCGATCCAAGTCTGGGTCTGGGCTTTGGAACCTGTGCAGAGATGGGCATCAGAATCCGCAGAGTGCAGTAGACAAGCGGCCCCAAGCACCACTGTCGCCTTGAAAGGGATTAGCTCCGATTCCCATACAGGCGTCAGTCAGAAGAGCTCTTTCCCTGACAGGTGTGCAGAAAGAGCCTGCCAGCATCGTTCGTGGTGCCATGGTGCTTACCTCGGACTCCTTAGAGGTATGTTGCTCTACTGGTTGTTCAAACATCGGGGTTTCTAATGTCTGGGTTTCGGGCGCAATAGATAGATCAGCGAGCTCGACGCCGAGGCTGGCAGCGCCCTTAACCCTGTCACCCTGAGGACCCCAGCTCTTAACTTCCGTCTCCCCAGCCCGTAAGCCCGAAGTAATCGTATCCCGTTACAGGATCAGGCACTGCAAACCGTGCAAGCAGCTCTTCTGTCTCTTCTACGTAGTTTACTTGTGCCCCCAACCCGGCTTTGATTCCAGGTTGGCCCCAGCGATGGCGTCAGGGACCGGCCAAGAAGGTTCCCGCACCCGGGACACGGGCATGAGTGGAGGAGCCTATCGGGGGTTTGGGCTGAGGGATTCATAAGCTTTGAGAAGTGTAGGTTTCGGGAAGTGCCGTTTCGGCTCGAGATTGTCGAAAGAGTTTTGGAACTGAAGTTATATTCTGGTGTTGGTTGAGAGCTTGCGAACACCGCCCTTCGCACGACCCGGGTGCGTTGTCGAAACATGATTGAGTGTTGAGGTTCCCTTTGAACCTGAACCCCCGGTCCATCCCAAGCATGAACCGCTGTGATGACCTAACCTTACTGCTATGCGTGTACAACATATATGTATATGTACATGTACATATACATGTTTATGTAGGTATGTATGTATTTATGTATGTATGCGCGTACGCATGCATGTATGTATGCATGCATGTATGCATGGAGGTAGGTGTGCATTTGTCAGATTTGTTTTGTGACTCCCTTATATGTGTTTACACGGAACCACTATATATACACTACACTAAATATAAATAAATAAATAAATATATATATATATATAAACAAATAAATATTAATATACATAAATACATAAATATAAGTAAATAAACATAAATATACATAGATACATACATACATATATATATACA